ATACAGCCATGGATCGGGAACCCGTCAGGTTTCAATTTGTCATAGCCATCAATATGCCAACAGTAGTTCGGCCCTGGATTAGTGTAAACTCTTCTTTTGAGCTTCCGCCTTCGTCTTCGTTCGCACCCCTCAGGGTCCATTTCTTGTAAGCATGTCGCCACTGCTTGCCTCGACACCTGATAACCCTCACGGCGCAAAGTATGCCACATGCTCCTGTACCCCTTTAAGCAACCAGGCCCATCTAACTCCTCCTGTATTCTAGCTCTGATATCCTGGTCATTTGAATCCAATAGGTTCCGTCGTCGAAGCCCAAGTGACTTGAATCTCTCCTTGAGCGTTCGCAGGCTCATTTCTATTCCGTGGTATTTCAGCAAAAAGCACAGAATAACCTCATACTCGTATCCTTCGTTGAAATAATATTTCAGTGCTTGTGTTTCTATATCAAGCTCAGCACCACAGGTGGCACAAAACTTGCTGTAAAGCGTCACTGTTGCTGTGCAAACTTCACATGTTAGCGATGTTGTTGAGTTTGCCGCCGCCATCTTGAAATCGCGGGAAGAAGAAGCCAAGAGGATACCGGGATTGGTCACCTCACTACTCGCACCCAGGCGTCGCTCGTTACTTGTATTCGGTGTGAGTTTATTCGAATTCGGTGTGAGTTTATTCGAATTCGGTGTGAGTTATTTGAATTCGGTGTGACTTATTTGAATTCGGTGTGAGTTATTTGAATTCGGTGTGAGTTATTTGAATTCGGTGTGACTTTCTGGAATTCGGTGTGCACTTGTGGGCCACCGTATTTTTTTCAGTAAGAACGTCTTTAAAAAACACTCGTAAACAATACTCTGTTGAAAAAAATATTTGCCGTTCCTTGCTAAGACAGTTTTTGGCGCACACGCCTGTTTATATTCGGCATGTTTTGCAACCGGGTAAGTACAACTATTGCTCTTTCCGGGGCACAGGAAGAGGGCAAAAATACAAATGCAAGATTATTTTCGGTGAAAGCTGCTGACCATAGTATGGGCTGATATGCTCCAAATGTTAAAGCAAGATATAGTGCGTTCACCAGTTCCCCCCCAAAATCATTCGGATCGCTACATTGCGGCTGACATATTCCTTAGCAGCACCCCCATTCTTTACAACATTCAGCACATGCCCATTTGCCACACGAGCAAACTATGAGGCTGAGTGGAAATTTGCCGAATTCTAGAGGCTACTTTCTCTGGCTGAATAACTCTAGTTAAGCCCTTAGCTTGTGGCACTGCTTTTCGAAACTGGTTTCAGGAAACGAGAACAAAGTACGCTCTTGATTTAGATTAAGGCGCCTATTGTCTTCGTTAACCTAATTAAAAAGGGTAACACACCCAAAGTCATCACACACCACATTACTCCATTTTCGTAACCGAAAATAATTCCTTTATAGTAGCGCTAACGACAAAATAGCCTAACTGACTTGTTCGGGACTTTGTAAAGACTTAACGAAACGAATTTTAATAGAAATTTTAGCTTAATTCTAAGTAAAATACATTACTCCATGGATAGCGTTAAAATTAAACTAACTTTGCTAATTGACCTTTATGGGGCACTGTTTAAATGGAGTAATGTTGGGAAAAAGTTGTTAAATTTATCCCCGTAGGTAAATGCGACAAAAACTGTCCATATTCTTACATGGTATACATGTTTTTGCCCTTTTCTTGTTTGAAAGTTGGTTCATTGTGCATATATTTCGCATTTTCTTATGGAGTAATGTGGTGGAGTAATGTGGAAACCCAAGTTGTTTACTGTTCTCAAATTATCTGAATGATTGACAGGCGACGCTAGCACAGCAATTTCTATAATGAACTCTGAACATGGCTGAATAAACTTTTTTATAGAGGTTCCGTATTACTTTCAGACCTTACGAAAATACAGTCTAGAAGATTTTAATTCAGCACTTATCTCACTCCTCCCTCGCAACTACAAACATCATGTTTTTGTAAGATAGTCTAGCACCGCCGGACTGAAAAAAAAAACTTTATTGTGGCAGCCTTTATGAAAAAAGTTAACCAGGAATAATGCCGCTGATGAAAAAGATGCATGTCTACATGGCAACGACAGCAATCGTATAGTATTTTTTACTTAAAATATCCTCATGACTTCTCGTTAAATCTGGTGAAACAGACCACCTGTGGCCATTCTTTCTACATAGTCCACGCGAAGAAAACGTCCTCTTGCTTCATGAGGAAAATTAAAGGCCTTAAACGTTTTCTTCTGATGTTCTTAGAAGAAAGCGTTTTCACCCAGTGGATTTTGCGGTCACGCTATGAAATGTCACGACGTCAGATGCAAATTCTCCTACATGTATTTATGATTTTACCAAAATATAACCTTTATTATATTTTTTATATAGTTTGGAAAGTGCATTATCAGCACAGTTCCAGGGCGAGATATCTCAACCAAATGTTAGATGCGACAAGTTTTATAAGCGTTTAAAGTTGATTTCCTATTCTCCTGCAATCATCGTCAAAAGTGTTGGGAAGGTTGCCTTTTTTACCTCTTCTTTTTCCCCACCCCTGGCCCAATGTTGATCAAAACGTTAATGTTTGTGCGCGCAATTGTTCTGTTATATCCCAACATTGAATAGGGGGGACGGGGGATATTTAGCNGACCACCTGTGGCCATTCTTTCTACATAGTCCACGCGAAGAAAACGTCCTCTTGCTTCATGAGGAAAATTAAAGGCCTTAAACGTTTTCTTCTGATGTTCTTA